ACGCATATCCCTCCAAATATTCCCCACTCGTATCACTAAGGCAGAGGTATTCATGGGAGTTGAAGTCCGGACATCTTCAAGTTGACAAGGTTGAGAAACACTGATTTAGACAGCTCTTACAGAATTATTTTTTACTTGGACACCAATGTAAGTACTAATAGAACCTTGAACTCCTGGTGTTCCAAATTCATAGTCAAAGCTGGAACATACTTAGAAGAAGTGGTTTCTTGTTCTTCTTTCTCCTTTGCTTCTCCCAACTCTCTAAGTGCTACCAAGAGGCGTTGATTTTGCTGCTGAAGTTCCTCAATGTTTCTGTAGGAAACCAGGCGCTGACTTATCACTTCAGAAGAGCTGCTGATGTCTGCAGAACTGACTTCTTCATCATGGATGACATGATTACCTCGGGCTTCTTCAAGCTCCATCAACAATACCCTTATCTTTAATCAGAAAAATAGTTTATTCGCGTTATAGAACTTTTATTTTCCACCACATAAATACATACCCTCCGTTCTTTCAACTTTACAGAGTATCATCCATTATCACACAAATCCATTTCCAGAATTACTCAAGTTTCATGAACATTTAGTTAGTGTAATTAAATCCTAACTACCTCCCCACCATTCTTTTTCCGGTGGTTGTGACATCCATTCTTCTCAAAACCATCTCCAAACTGGTCAAAATCATACCAACATTCAATCATTTTTGCAATCAAAATTTGGCAGCGGGATTTCTAGGTGTTAAAGGCAAATGGGATATATCCATCCAGGAGTTAAAGTAACCAAATATCAGACTATTTTAGTTATTTTCCCTTTAGGTCAGGAACCAAATTATAGAACAAATAGGATAGGATTATTTATTCCTAGCTTTGTTGTCTTTCTATGTCTGTTTTCTTGTTTCTGAACCTCTTTTGTTAAGTATTAGATGATCTCTTAGCCAGTCAAACAGTTCATCTATATGTTTCATCCTCCTACGGAATATAGGAAATCTATTTTAACAAGCATCTGCTGGGGAGAACAGAGTAAAGCTATATACAAAGCTTGTACTAAAGAGCTCAACAGTTCCCAAGAGCCGAGGTGGCGCAGTGGTTAAATGCAGCACTGCAGGCTACTTCAGCTGACTGCAGTT